TATACTATTAGTAATTCTTAAAACTAACTAGTTTACATAAATCTCAATTACCTTTATGCTATTGAGCTGTATCGTAAGATTATCTATTTACTAACAAATAAAACTATTAGTTTCTATTCTTATATTTGGGTTATTGATGGTGCGTTCTATTATTTGTATGTTCTGTCTCTGGTATTTATATTTTACAATGTGTGTTGGCTGATAGATATGTTCCATATACCTTTGATTATTATACTATATCTAATAAACAATATATTATATCGCAAATATAATATCTAATTTATATATATATGTATATATATATATATACAATGTATATATGCAATGCCGAATCTATATGTATACAAATATCTCTTATACAGTATGCAACTATGTGTTAAATACCATTCAAACAAAATTCAAAATCTGAAGTTTCAAATTTTCTTTGTGTCGCTCTGGGCATTCACACGGTCAAAATCAGCACACTCGAGTCTAGTTTCTGCGATTCTATTTCACAAAATTTTCGTAATATTATGTGCGGTTCGACTGCGCAACACCGCGCAACACTGCGTGCTGCGTATTTCATTTGTATGTTGGGATAATGGTCACACATTTTGCCTGTGAATTACCATGAATATGGTAGAACAATATAGCATAATACAAGTACCTACCCGCTAAATAGTTTCAAAGAAATACTAAAGACGAATTCCCTAATCCACAAGAATGTATTGAATATCCGCAACTAATATTTCAAGACCAAATTTATAATAGGAATTTCTAATCTTTAAGTATACTGCATAATTTCTTTCTCCGTGTTAAAATTCTAATTTCTTTGCTCCATAATCTATCTTGTTCTCCTTTCATTTGTTAATTTTCTAGTTTCTATATACGTATTTGCATATTACAGTACAAATAGATAAGAACTCAAATTTGCGATCGAATTCAGGTGAAACCAGGCGCTCTCAAATTCAAGGATTTGAAAGTGAATACTGAAAAGGGTAGCACGAGCGTTACGAACAAGAAAAGAAGCGACCACACCCACACGAAGTGCGAACTCCCTTCGTCTTTCCTCGTCGTCCCCTCACCCACAATCCAGTCATTGTAGAACTCTTTTGCGTCCCAACGAAACAGCACTAACTGCCGCAATCATTGACGAATAGAATGTTTTACGAATGCCGTGGGGCGATGATCCCGTCCTTGTTATTGGTGAATCCATCGTGTGTGGTAGAATATCCGCTGTGATATGCTCGTGTATGGTGTTCTCAAATGTGGACGTTTACTAGGGTGTTGCATATTGTTCGTTTGAATGGAGTTTTCGATGATGAACATTCTACAAGGACAAGTCAGCTTTACTATAGCAGAAATTTGCCTACTGTTATCGTGTATGCTGTTAGCAATTTCGCGTACTACTTGTCTGTGTAGTAGCCGAGCACGGCATACGTGCTGTAAGTGTAAAACTTTGGTGTTAATATTTGAAGCAATTTTGATGTGCTCGTTTTGCTTACGATAGCAACTTATTTGTGGTTTATGGATTTTGTTTGGACTAATAGATTTATTATAATATATGAATGCTGTTATTAATTTCATTTTTATTAATTTCATTGATCTCTTAGTAGGCGTGTTTTTGTGACCGTCATAGCTAGTAGCCAAATCGTTGACAAATAAAACACACTTAGCTTATTCATGTTTCGTATTGTTTTGGCATATCGGGCAAGAACGTCATGATGTTAAATATCATATGTTTCAAAATATGCCTCGACTGGAGAAATTTTAGTTTGAATTTTAAATTTGTATGCGATTTGTGATTATACTATACTAAATTTTATTTTGTTAATTTGACGTCTAGAAACCAAAAAAACATCGAACAAATAGTTCATTTTGTCTTAATGTTAACTCAATAGCCGTTCAAAATCTGTATTTTTGCAAAGATTGCTATTGAATATGAAAAATATAAGTAGACTGGCAACTCTAGTTCAATATACAAGCTAAGATAGGTTTTGACAAGCCTATATTTGTGGCTAAGTCTTTCATACAAAATAAGCTAATAACCGGTACATTATGGTCATAAACGCCTTTCGGCTATTATTGGCAGCAGCAGAGGGGTTTGAACCTCTTGTCGTAGATCGGCGGGATTGTCGGCAGACGTGCAATTGAATATGTAACATACTATGCTCCTTTTTTCCCACCAAATTATGAATTTCGCAATCTGAACAAGAATATAATAAGTATCTAAAATATTTCTAACTAAAATACCTCCTTAATATAATTGTCGCTCACGAGATTAAAATATTAAAAAAATTAAATGAGTACATGACCTTCAATATAAGTTAATAATATACCAAATTTGATTTCACGATTTCGTTGAATATTGAATGTTGAATTCTTTCGCAACATTTTTATACCCTGAACAGGGTATATTAAGTTTGCCACGGTATATACGCGAACTAGTTCGTCAGTTTTTAAGCTATCGATCTGAAATTTTGCACATGTCCTTTCCTTACTAAGATGCTGTTCATTTGTCGGACCACTATACCATATAATTACCATACAAAGAGAATAGAAATTGTTCAGATCATATTGCTATAGCACATATGTAGCTGCCATACAAACTGAACGATCGGAATCAAGTGCTCGTATGTAAAACTTTTTCATTTGACGATTTATCTTCACGAAATTTGGCATGGATTATTATTTAAGACAATAATGAAATCTCCGAAGAAATTTTATAGATCGGATGACTATAGCGTATAGCTGCCATATTAACTGAACGATCGAAATAAAGCACTCGCATGGAAAACTTTTTTATTTGTGAGGGGTATTATAGCTTCGGTCCAACCGAAATTAAAGTTTCTTCTTGTTTAATATAAGGTTTTGTTAACACTTGAAAGAATTTCCACGGATTTGATACTTGTAAGTGGCAAATGTAGGAAATGTTCCGTAACACCTGAACTTCGCCCTTCATTACTTGTTTTGATTACATTATTTGGACTATAGATAGGTGAGAATGAAGTTATGGAGAAAACTTGATGTAACTAATTATTAAGTCTATGTGACTTATTTGCTAATTTACGTTTTTGTTTTCATTAATTAATTGTTTCAAACAAAAATTTTATAGAAAATTTATTCGAATTTAATTAATTTCAGCACTCTCAACTACGATTTCGCACATGTTTTGGACCAAATTCGGCACAATTAAAAATTGTGAAATTCCATACCTGGTACCAAGTTTCATCAAGATATTATAATAATTAAATTATCGCTTGCACGAACGGACGGGCAGACAAACAGTTAATTTTTTAGTCATCCTAATCATTTATATTTATATATAACTCTATATCTAACTCAATTAGTTATAATTGTTATAAGCAGCTGTTAAGTGAAACTTTTATACCATACTTGTACAGCATGATGTGTGCTTATAAAAATTGGTCGCTAAAACATAATTGAACATCTAGAATTGGTTCTAAATCTCTAATTTCTACAACATATAAATAAACAGGTTGTTCGAGAAAATCGGATGATAAATAAGAGCAACGTAATATAAAATTTGTAACGGGAGCAGTCAGCGATATATTTTCCGAAAAATTTTAACAAATCCGAGGCTATCTGCTTGAAAAATGGCTATTGATGTACAACATTAATTAGAGAAGTCATACAATGCACCAACTGCCTGCCAGGTGTTTCGTGATTATTATTGCAAATCGGTAGAAATTAGTCGTAAGCAAGAAAAGGATGCTTTTTCCCTGGACTACAGAAATCTATGCCATAATAGTTCCGTTTCTATAAAGACAAAGATCCAAAACACTAACCTGAAAAGTTATGGTCTCTTTACGGCACATTTTTCGGCGGGATCTGACATATCTTGAAGGCCCTATTTATGCAAAGGGTGTTTGATTTATATACAGTGAACCAAAAAAACTTGTACAGAGATATTTTTTCTCATAAACTATTTATGTAAATATGTTCATCTTATGTATTTTAAGTATTTCGTACGAAATGTCGAGAACGCAAAGTTAATAGCAAAAATAATCCGCAATCCTTACTCAAAATGAAGCTTCTGTGAATAAAAGACTGCAAACTATTATTGAGGGCAAAGGAACACATACAAAGTAATAATTTTCCGGAAGTAGTGTTAAAATGTCAAGTTGTTCAAACTATACAAGCTTTTTCTTGGTCTTGGAAAATGGCGTTATTTTGGATTTTTTAAATTTTTGGAAAACTGGATTTATAAAAATAAATTTAAATTTTTGGATGTATTAAAATGACATACGACTTTATGGGGAGCGCACCGCGTTATTCATTCGGAATTATTTAAATAAAATATCCGTTTAAGCTTGTATATAATCTCACTATATTCTATTTATTTTGTCAATTTTACTTAATTTATGAATGTATGTAAAATAGGACAATTATGGTTCTAGAAAGTTAATAAACATTATGAAAAGACAACTTGCGGGTGCTGACGATCGATTTAACTCGGATCGGTCTCAAATTGTATATCATGTGGCGCGCCGAATCATTGACGAATAGAATGTTTTAGTGAATGCCATGGGGGCGATGATCCCGTCCTTATTGTTATTTGGTGATGCCATCGTGTGTGATGGTATATTCTGTAGAGATATCCGCTGTGATATGCTCGTGTATGGTGTTCTCAAGTGTAAGGTTTTACTAGGGTGTGCCCATATTGTACTGGTTTGAATGGAGTTTAGAGGCAGTGATATTAAATACTACAAGGGGCAGGCATAGCTCATTTAACCCTCATGTTAGTAACCAACTTTACCGACGCCTTTTAGCAACCGGGTGCCACGATCTGAGTATTAAAAATTCAATTATTAATAGTCAGTGACAATTTAAAGAAAAAAATAACAACGTAGAATCGAGAATGACATCTGAAACCTATTTGGGACACTCCAGGTAGTCGGCCGGCTTTTATTGTTCGGAGCCGAGCAGATGCCGTTCGAGAGAGAAAGAAAAACTCAAGGTTATTTCTTTGTTTTCTATCACGCACTAGATTCGAGCATTTTTTAGTATGCAACAGATTTTTAGTGGGATCAGACGTGTTTCATATATTGTTCTCTTTACAGTGAAAAATAAAGCTATGGAACAATTATCCAGAGCTGACTATGCTCGGTACGTAAACGTTACATATATCTAACATTTGTAAATATTTTAATTACAATTTTGTGTAATATAATTATAATTATTTACGACGTATATAACATAATATCTAATTTATTAGGTTAAGTGCAACCCAAAGGAATGAGTACTTGAGGAAAATACTTGGAGAACACGACAGTGATTCGAGTAGGGTTTCTGATAGCGATGACGAAGACTGGATTCCAGCAAATAGAGCTAGACATCAAAATCAACAAGGAAATTCAGTGCGTGACCAACCAGAAGATTCTGAAGATACAGAAGAAATCGCTAAAGAGAATTCAGCAGTAGAAGAAGAAGAAAAAGTTGAGAGCAGCGAGAGTGAAGATGATGACAATGAAGTAGAAACAGCTGAGCCTGAAGGTAGTAAAATATTTGTTCTTAGCAATGATTGAAATAATAATTATTTTTCTTAAATAATTAATTAATGTTGTTATTATTATTTTAGGAAGAGCTCAAGAACCATCTGGGAGTTTTATTGCCAAAGATAAAACAGTGTGGAACAAAACTCCACCAACTCAGCATCAGACCGCAGCTCATAATGTTGTACGCCGGCGGAGTAGGCCTCATCGCAGTACGGAAACGTTGTCAATTAGCGAGACTTTCAAAAAAATATTTACTTACGAAATGGTTGATATAATCGTCCGTCACACTAATAAAAAAGCTGAAACAATTTTCCAAGAGTACAATCCGAACCATACAAACTTACAGCATCAATGGAAACCCGTTACGATACCCGAAATTTATTGGTTCTTCGGAATCTTGATTTGTGCTGGAGCAAATAATTCGAATACAGATCATGACATGTGGCACTCCAATTCTTATCCGCTGTATCGCGCGACGATGGGATTAACGAGATTCCATAATATTCTGCGTTTTTTGCGATTCGACAATGGTAATACTCAAAGTGAACGTAAAAAAGAAGACAAGGCAGCTCCAATTCGTGTTGTATGTACAATGTCAATATATTCCATCGAAACCAGCTAAGTGTGGTATTAAGATCTGGTGGATTTATGATACAGAAAACGCGTATTCTTTGCAAGGGATTATGTACACTGGCAAAACAAATAATACTCGAGAAAAAATCAGGGTGAAAGAGTAGTGAAAGAATTGGCGGCTCCGTACCGAGGTAGTGGTAGAAACATCTGCATGGAATATTACCATTGTTGGGATGCTAAAAAATAATGAATCTTACATCTCTAGTGTTATGATAGCGAATAAGACACGGGAGCAGTATTCCACAGTTTTTGGATTTCACGAAAAGGTTACCATGTGTTCCTAAGTTCATAAAAAAAAGAAAGCTGTCATTCTGATATCTACAATGCATTCAGATATATCAGTTGGTGATGACGCTAAATGAAAACCAGAAATAATAATTTTCTTTTGATAAATATTAAGCTAAGTGAAGAACTTGCATTACCGATGATTGAACATCGCACGGCGAGTCCACGAGTAATGAGCTACTTCTCAACAAAAATGCCATTGAAAGTGTATTAAACCATATGCTGACAGAAACAGTCGTGATAAATCCTGGTGCAGAGACTCCAAAAGATAAAACCGGAAAGAAAAAAGTAACAGGAACTTGTCATGTTTGCAATGCTTTACCAATAAGAAGACGGCGAAAGACACGTAAGGCCTGTGCCAATTGTCACCAACCTGTGTGTGACGAGCACTCAGTTAATCGTGTACAATGTGTTCAATGTGATTAATTATAAAAAAAGTCTAATATTTCTTTATTTTTTTAATACAATTTAGTTGCATGCATTAATAGAAATTATATACAATTTTTTCCCTATGCTTTCCACTGTGGGTACCCGGTTGATATGGTCGATGGCTAGAGTTTAAGCTTATTTAAAAAAAAAAAAAAAAAAAAAAAAACAAGTAAGGAAGGGCTAAGTTCGGATGTAACCGAACATTTTATACTCTCGCAAAGTCAAATGGTATACTCGTTTGAGATTTCTTTGTGGATTGACTGATATTTTCGGTAGAAGGTCAACTATAGGCAATGGGGTCCATATATTTTGTACTTAGGGGTTTGAACAGTTTCGGTTCGATTTAGACAATTTTTGGCCGCAAGGTGGCCGACTTTAATTGCATTATTCACGCAAAGTTTTACCTCGATATAATCATTGTTACCTGATTTGCATAGTGGAAAGTGAAAGAATCAGATGGAATTGAAAATGGTGTTACATGGGAAGTAAGCGTGGTTGTAGTCCGATTTCGCCCATTTTCGCACTATGACATAGAAACATGAAAAGAACGTTATGCACCGAATTTGGTTGAAATCGATTAAGCAGATCCCAAGATATGGGTTTTCACCTAAAAGTGGGCTGTGCCACGCCCACTGACTAATTTTGAACGCGGTTCCTATAAAAGCCAATTTATACCATCTCAGAGATAAAATTTAATGTCTCTGGCGTGTTTAGTGCTTGATTTATCGCGCTTTTAGTATTTTAACAGTACCGTTATATGGGAGTGGGGAGTTGCAACCGATTTCAACATTTTTCACACCGTCAATAGAAGTGCTAAAACATTTGCTTCTAGTATATTTTGTTATTATAGCATTAGCGGCTTAGGAGATATGCAAATTAAACCTATTAGAGGCGGGACCACGCCCAATTTTAAAAAAGTTTTAACTGCAGATGCCAATCCCTAATGTGATCCTGTGTACCAAATAACAGTCGCGTATCTTATTGCGGAGCTTAGTTATGGCAAGTTATTTGTTTTTGATTAATGGCGTTTTGTGGGCGTGGCAGTGGTCGATTACGCCCATCTGCAATACCAACCGTCTCACGGTACCAAGAAAATGTCTACCAAGTTTCATAAAGATATCTCAATTTTACTCAAGTTAGAGCTTGCACGGAGGACAGACAGTCACCCGGATTTCAACTCGTCTCTTCATCCTGATCATTTATATATACATAACCCTATATCTAACTCGATTAGTTTTAGGTGATACAAACAACCGTTAGGTGAACAAAACTATTATACTCTGTAGCAACAGGTTGCGAGAGTATATAATAACAATTAAATGAACTCACAAATAGCTTTATTTTAAGTTAAAAAAACGACGATTTGAAAGCTTAAAATGAAATATTGCATTTTTTAAGCTATTCACACATATACACCGCGGTACCGGTTACTAACATAAGGTTAATATCATTTTCGCTCACGAGATTAAAATATATTAATAAAACTAAGTGAGTACATGACCTTCAATATAAGTTAATAATATACCAAATTTGATTTCACGATTTCGTCGAATAGTGAATGTTGAATTCTTTCGCAACATTTTTATACCCTGAACAGGGTATATTAAGTTTGCCACGGTATATACGCGAACTAGTCCGTCAGTTTTTAAGCTATCGATCTGAAATTTTGCACATGTCCTTTCCTTATTAAGACGCTGTTCATTTGTCGGAACGGCCGATATCGGACCACTATAGCATATAGTGTCCATACAAACTGAACAATCGGAATCAAGTAATAGAAAATAGAAATTGTTCAGATCAGATTACTATAGCATATATGTAGCTGCCATACAAATTGAACGATCGGAATCAATTGCTCGTATGGAAAACTTTTTCATTTGACGATTTATCTTCACGAAATTTGACATGGATTATTATTTAAGACAATAATGAAATCTCCGAAGAAATTTTATAGATCGGATGACTATAGCATATAGCTGCCATATTAACTGAACGATCGAAATAAAGCACTTACATGGAAAACTTTTCTATTTGACTAAGTATCCTCATGAAATTAGATCGGAATCAAGTTTTTGTAAGGAACCTTTGTATTTGTGAGGGGTATTATAGCTTCGGTGCAACCGAAAATAAAGTTTCTTCTTGTTTAATATAAGGTTTTGTCAACACTGGAAAGTATTTCCCCGGATTTGATTTGTAAGTGGCAAGTTGTTAATTTACGTTTTTGTTTTCATTAATGTTTAAAAAAAAATTGTATGAAAATTTATTCGAATTTAATTAATTTCAGCACTCTCAACTACATTTTCGCACATTTTTTGGACCAAATTCGGCACAATTAAAAATTGTGAAATTCCATACCTGGTACCAAGTTTCATCATATATATATAATATTACAATACGGACGAACGAATAGACGGGCAGACAAACAGTTAATTTTTTCGTCATGCTAATCATTTATATTTATATATAACTCTATATCTAACTCAATTATTTATAATTGTTATAAGCAGCTGTTAAGTAAAACTATTATACCATACTTGTACAGCATGATGCGTGCTTATAAAAATTGGTCGCTAAAACATAATTGAACATCTAGAATTGGTTCTAAATCTCTAATTTCTACAACATATAAATAAACAGGTTGTTCGAGAAAATCGGATGATAAATAAGAGCAACGTAAAATTAAATTTGTAACAGGAGCAGTCAGCGATATATTTTCCGAAAAATTTAAACAAATCCGAGGTTATCTGCTCGAAAACTGGCTATTGATGTACAACATTAATTAGATAAGTCATACGATGTACCAACTGTTTCGTGATTATTTCTGCAAATCGGTAGAAATTTGTCATAAACGAAAAAAGGATGCTTCTTCCCTGGACTACAGTAATCTATGCCATAATAGTGCCGTTTCTATAAAGACAAAGATCCAAAACACTAATCAGGCATTGTGCAATTCTAGCACAGCAGCATCTAGAAACAAAAAGAGTTGAAAAGGTTGCTGTTGGAGGATTGTCAAAAATTCGCACTTGAAATTAAACATAAGCTTCTTAAATCAACGCCAAACCTGCTCCAATTGCTTACCTTAGGTTATCACACAATATTAACAAGTAAGGATGTACTAAGTAATATACTCAACTTTCCCTCACCATCATTACTACTTTTTGCTGTATGTCTGGGATGTATGTTACATTACAAGTCGAATATATCTAGGCAACAGAAACCACTATATTCATCACATTAGAACTGTGTTAATACGTATAGTACAAACTCATATCGATAGTTTTTATTATCGGATATATCAGAGAAAAATCAACCTGAGGGCGCAATTCATTATGTTAAGAGCACAATTACTAATTTTAAGTAGTATATGTGCGCTGGGTAATTAGTGTAGAGGATTTCACCCATATTCTCCACAATATACAATATATCTTATAATGTTAGATATGTTACATTTTGGTTATTTACTCCTAATAATAGATCTTATATATCGACCGATATAAAGGCAACCGGAATTTTTAAATTTTAATATCAGGGATATAGGCCCTACGGAAAGTACTGAACCGATTTTGCAAATTGATATAGAGAAAAAGTGCTCGTCAATTTTGTTATATATTTCTCTAAAATTAACCGATATTTTCTGTAAAAATAAAGGCATATCCACTAAGGTGGTCGCATTCGAATCTCTGCGAACCTGAAAAGTTATGGTCCCTTTACGGATCTGACATATCTTGAAGGCCCTTTTTGTGCAAAGGGTGTTTGATTTATTAACACTGAACCAAATAAAACTTGTACAGAGATATTTTTTTCATAAACTATTTATGTAAATATGTTAATCTTATGTATTTTAGGTATTTCGTACGAAATGTCGAGAACGCAAAGTTAAAAGCAAAAATAATCCTCAATCCTTACTCAAAATGATGTTTCTGTGAATAAAAGACTGCAGACTATTGTTGAGGGCAAAGGAACACATAATAATAAATCCAACGATTACCCTCCTCCCGCCAACCGACGCGAGGGGCGCAATCCGCATACGTGCGGAATTAGCCGAGTCAGAAAAGGCAAGAGAGTTTTTTAAGTGTTGAGATCTAAAACTGCTCAGCTACAGAAACAAAAATTTCAACAGCTAAGATCTAAAGTTACAATATAATATATTGTTACATTTTCATTTATTAAGAGAAAACAATAAAGACTTTTTAATTTTGAAAATTGAGTCAGATAAGTCAAATGTGCTTGAATGAGAATTAAAATCATCACATATACGGCGGAATGGCTCGTTTAGTTCAAAATTTGATCTACAGGATTTTTGCAGTAAAGGTCTAAACTGCCTCGAAAGGCGAACCGGGATATTAAATTTAATTTCAGACAGGAGAAAATAACTGCAAACAGTTCCATTCAAAAGTTTCACTAAGAATATTATGCCAAGCATTTCCCTACGACTAGAAAGTGTAGGTAGATTGATAAGTTTTAAACGACTAGTAACGGAGGTAGACTTACCCTAGCATCCCATCGGAAATGCGCTAAAGCGAAAAGTAAAAAACAAAGTAATAATTTTCCGGAAGTAGTGTTAAAATGTTAAGTTGTTCAAACTATACAAGCTTTTCTTGGTCTTCGAAAATGGCGTTATTTTGGATTTTTTAAATTTTTGGTGAAAACTGGATTTATAAAAAAAAAAATTAAATTTTTGGATGTGATTAAAATGACATACGATTTTATGGGGAGCGCATCGCGTTATTCATTCGGAATTATTTAAATAAAATATCCGTTTATGCTTTTATATCTCACTATATTCTATTTATTTTGTCAATTTTACTTAATTTATGAATGTATATAAAATAGGACAATCATGATTCCAGAAAGTTAATAAACATTACGAAAAGACAACTTGTGCTGACGATCGATTTAACGCGGATACCATGTGGCGCGCCGAATCATTGACGAATAGAATGTTTTAGCGAATGCCGTGGGAGCGATGTCCCGTCCTTATTGTTATTTGGTGATGCCATCGTGTGTGATGGTAGTTTCTGTAGAGATATCCGCTGTGATATGCTCGTGTATGGTGTTCTCAAGTGTGGGGTTTTACTAGGGTGTGCCCATATTGTACCGGTTTGAATGGAGTTTACAGGCAGTGATATTAAATACAAGGCTTTACTCATTTAAACATGGCGAA